GCCACCTAGTTCCACTGGATGTACGAACGCGTTACCAAGGTGCTCTCTGATTGGATGGCACTGAAGGGCTGGCATTCTGCTAATGCTCAAAGCAAGCAAGCGCTCCCCCTCCCCCTCCAGACACTGTCACACTCAGTTGGTGGCACTAGGGGGCAGTCCACCCTGTTGGTTGTTATTGTTAAGGAGGCATCTACAGTAGGATTTTCATCAGGAGAAATGGGACACAGCAAGAGTTTAAAACATATATAATTCATTTATTCATTCATGTGGATTACTTGAAAAAATCTATTAGGTTTCCGTGAGCTTAATGTTCTGCCTTTTCACCATCTAAGTATGAGAAAGACATTAAGCTGTGCACAGTTGTACCGCTTTTGCTAATTAATTTTAAATGTAACATTAATCTGTTGAACAGCTGAGCACAGTTTTTCTAGTAAATCATGGATTACATATACAAGACACAGAATATAAAATTTGCTTGTCTTGGTGGCTGAGTATTTCTTCCTAGAAGAGTGAGAAGCTAGAAGTGAAATGCATCTGAATGAGATAATTGTTACTAAAATGTAAAAATGTGAAAATGGAAAAAAAAAAGAAAAGAAAAAAAGGCCAAACTAAAACTGTATAATGAGCAGGCAAGTGTTTCTGAACGCAGCTTTTGTCACTGTGCGAAGCTTGGGAAAATGATAATCTGCACATTCACCACATCAGTTTAATTCTCAATAGTATCAAATAAGTGTTAGGAATAATAAAACTAAATATAATATATATTAAATTACGGGGATGGGTGGGGGGGTATAGTGTTTACATTAAGCTTTTAGAAGAGCCTATGCCCATGCACGCACACACACACACACACACACACACATACACACACACACTTGCTGGAGGAGTTCTAGCACTGTGTCTGTGGTATAGTGTCTATCAGGAGACTGCTAATTAAAGGCCTACAACACTGAAGCAAGGAAACCCCAGTGGAACAATGTTCATCTGGAGATGAATTAATGTAAGAGGAGTAGTGATTACCACGAGGGCAGTCAGCCATTTCATATTTCTAGCACGAGGCACTGGACCTCAAATTTTAACCATGACGAGATTTAAATTTACTTTGCTTGGTGAGAGGCTAATCTCTGTTTCTGCCCCCCCCCCCTCCCTCGCCATTTTGCTCTGTTTTGCACTGGTAACTAGTGCACGTTTAACTCAGTTACAATATAATATACAGACAGCTTTATCAATGAACAATATTTCCCAAATGCAGACATGTGAATGATCAATGGGTCAGATTTACTGTGTATGACAGTGGGATAACATGAACAATAGTAAAAATAAAACTGGACATCCACAATTCTACATCTCAATAACACATACATGCATAATATTACGTTACCTGATACAAGGAAACACAGATTCTGGATGATTCAAACAAAATCCCCCAAACTCTTAAATTCCCTAAATTCTTTATTGTTCATTACTAAATATAATTTCACTGTTGTATCTCAATACAATTTTAGTGTGTCCTGATTTCTAAGTTACTCAAAAGAAGCTTGCATACATTGTGAATTGTTCCTGCATTTACTACCTGAGATAAACTGCTTTTTTATCTCATGTGTCAATAAAATTGTTGTTTCGATCATCAGTTTTGTGATTACGTGTCTCTTTTTAACATTTTAATGTTGCTTTGTGGAATTTGCAAACAGTTTTGGTTATGAACTAAACGTATCACTTTTATCTCCAGTTTTTCAAAGGCCCGCTTCCTTGCGGCACATAAGGACACTTAAATGTTTTGTGCTACCTTTTCACTGGTTGCCATGGTAATGAAAAGATGATAATTGCATGGATTACATTTACGTTGATTGCTACATGCTGATCTCAGACAACCAATCTGTAATAGGCACTCAAATCAGCAAGAACCTTTTTCTGTTTTTCTTATCTTTGACATAATTTGGATGTATCATTGTAAAGAAAGTAAAAAAAAAAAAAGAAAAAGGAAAAAAAAATCTAAAAACCAGGTCAGAGGAGTTCAAGCAATGTAAAGTGTTCTCTTTAAGGCCATTCATGATACAAGGTCAGGTCAATCCTGAAGTAAGGTTGCTGCTTCCCACAATAGACATGAGGGTGGGATCACCATTCTGTGCCAGACAGAAAGCTCACTATTATAGCGTCACCTCTCCAGAAGCTTCTGAGTTCTTCTGGCTGTGTTGGGGACAGGGGGTGGGGGTGAGGGGGTCTCTGCTCCCCGTCCTGAAGCGGAGCTCCACACCACTCTATGAAGAAGGGACCTCAGTGAATAGGCCCCACTCAAGAGGAATAAAAGAACCTCTCCACTGGTTTGTTTTGGAAGCTGTCTTATTGATCTGTCTACCTATGAATGAATGCATTGGCCCAGTTTTCCTGCTCATGTGGACAATGTCACTCAAGGCCTGCATTAACTGGCCTGATGTTATTCCCAGAGAATGGCGTGCATTAAGAGGAGTTTGGGAGTGTTTGTAATTTCATCCCTCCATCTACTCCACTAACCTTTCCCACAAGAATAGAGGTGCCAAATTAAGAAAAGCAAATCGATGGCCATTGACTGCCTAAATCAATGGAAGTTTGCACGAGGACATATTTCATAAGTAGAGTGATGCTGAAACACAATTACAGTATTGTTCAACACCACCATACAAAGACTATTAAGTCTGATAAAATAGACACGATTTTAAATCTTGTCCGAGACCTTGAAGACAAAGAAAGGAACCGCTGTAAATGCAGAGAAAAGCTTATAAGAAAGAGGGCCTTATGTGCCTGTAGTTTCTAAACTACAGAATAAAGCAGTGAGGCTTTATAAAGGGATATCTGTGTGGAACTATTCTGAACTCATGGTCCAACATGTGTATAATAGTGGGGCATATCATCCTTTCCTACGAGCACATCATGCATGAAATACATGACGACAAGGCCATACCATTAAAAAGCAACTCCGCAGTAAAAGCCAAAAAGATATATAGAACACCACGACTTTATTCAAGTTATTTAACAGTTTTCAACACTTTGACTGTATAAAATCGGTCGAATTTCTTTGATCCCTGTAAAAATGTTGTCATTTGCTTGGTAGATTTTTTTTTAGTACACAACTAGCTAAAACACCTGAAACAATTTTGCAATGCACAACATTTGAGTCGGAGGGAGACAAGGAGAGACAAACTAAGTTAATGAACTATTTTACAAACAAGTCTTTGGTGATTTTAATTTGGTGAGGCATCATTTGTGAAATTGTTGTCATTCTCTTACATGGGCCACGGTATCATCAAAACTCATTAGGAATACCGACTTGCTGTCATATTGGTAATTTATTGATTTACAAATTTCATGAAAATGAATATGGATGTATTAAATATTCACACACTGTTTTCTCTTTGGTCATGTGGGAACAATTATAAGCATTAAACGACTGTGGCCAACAAATCCTTATTATATTTTTACTTTGTAGGACTGTAAGGTAGAAGTTCTTCTCTTCAACACTAAAAACAAAAAGCTTATACAGCCTTGATGAGCATTTAACAACAATACATACCTAAAGTGCCAATCACATCTACAGCCTCATACATGAACCATCTCCCTGCTGTGACCACACATGAAGCAAACAGAGCATGAGGATAAAATAAAAAAGGACATAGTAAAGAACATAATTTATTTAAGACAAAATCTAAAGCAGAAATAAATACATGAAAGAACAACACTCTTGTGTAATTTACTTCGTGAACCCAACAATGAATAATAAACACTTTCAGTGGTAACAAACAGAAATGCCTGATTAGGCCAATGAATTCTGAAAGTATCCAAGGTACTTCTCACCAGAACGGAATAAAAAGGTTAATCTGTAACTGATTTGTCAAACACATTTTCAAAACTGATTTAAACCATCATGCACTCCTATAACAAAATAAAGTGTATGCTGTTAAAATTATTAGAAATGTTTACAGGCCTCAACATACGTAATAAATACAAAAACAAAGATAAATCAATTGATAAAATAGTCATTAGGACAAATTAGCTTTTGTAGCAGATGGTAGTAGAGAAGTAAGGAGTTCAGGAAGTGCGGGGGTGTCAAATCAACTCACCATACAAATCATTTTCATGAAAACAATCTAGAAATTAGGCAGGATTGATACATTCATTATGTGCATATTCCCTAACATTTAAAACAGACACAACTGAAGCTAAGACTTTCGACACCAGGACCTTAAAAAATGTGATATGGTGCTGCTTGACTTTGTAAAATGTGTTCTGTACAAAACTCACAGAGCTGAAATTTATAAATTACAGCTCTGTGATATAATGAATGTAATGATGAAATGAAGTGAAATGCCAGAGAACCACACGAATGCAATTAATCTGGCAGCACGTACCCTACATTCCTGAACAGACTGGACAATCATGTTGGTCCAGTGCGTCATCAGCACAGTGACTGCTTGTGCGTACATTTACCCACCAAACAATTACAGTATGCAAAGACACTGTCAACACCGTTACTTCCTGTTCTGAGCCCGAACTAGTGATTCTCTCTTCAATCAAGATGGATCTACAGAAAACAGATGTCAGCAGAGTTGTAGCTGAGCTGTAGTTTCAAACACTAGCAGACACCAAATCTTGGGATGGGGGGACGGGGTGGGGTGGGGGGGGGTGACATAATTGGCACCATTTTAAAATCAAAACTTTTACAAATCCACAATTTGATCCATTAGAAATAGAATGAAAACAAACAAAAGCTTGTTCGCAAATGAGTTTAAAAGCAATGTATGGGTAAAAGTTTAAAAAAAAAAAAAAGAAAAGAAAGCACAACATAAAGGCGGTAGCTTATCAACAGTAGTTGATATCATCTCTCCTTGATCGCAATGCCCTTTCAGGTTACAGATGACCTACAGTAGAGATCCTATACATGCAGACAGACACACGTACACAAGCACATACCTTGATTGAGCCCTACGTGCTGTCCTCCCTTTAACTCATCACTGCCGCTCAAAAAAAAAAAAAAAAAAAAAAAAAAAAAAAAAGAGCTCCAGATTCTCTCATAGCTTCTTAAATGGCTCAGTTAAAACCAGGGAGGTTACATTGCAAATTGAAACATCACAAGTCTATTGGAACGACTTTCATTTAAAAAGTTTGTCCTTGATGGCAACTTCAATTAGACACATTTAAATACATCAGATTCAAGTCAGTGAGATGTCGCCCCATCAGTTTAACATCTCCTCTTGCTCCTCTGCAAGTACATCTCTTCTTGAGTTCTCCACCGTCATACCTTGGTTAGGTCATCCCATCTCACCCATTTGGGGGGAAAATCCACAGGCTGCCCCTCCCTCATTCTCTTCCTCCCCCTCCTCCTCCACCTCCACACAGAAAAGCACTGGCAAAATTTTAAGACTCAGACTCTTTTGTGGTCCGTGGCAATGGAATTTAGGCATCTGAGAAAAAGAGGCCATTTTCTTTTAACACACATATTTTAAAGTTTTGATCAAAAGACAAAAATACCCCCCCCGCCCACACACACACACTTAAAAAAAAAAGAAAGAAAAAAAAAGGTTCAGCAAAAAATAAGTCCATGTGATTTCCGGCTAATATGAAGTCACACGCTAGCCTCCATGAACATCTCCAGATTCAATGATATTCTGCGACCTAAATGTAGCTTCCTTACAACATGTCATAGAGGGAAATTAGCAATTTCATGGACTGTGACACAGACTGGAATATAGATGGCTGCATGACTCTTAATGTCAAGGCGGTGCACATAAGTACCAATCAATAAAACTTAAACTTCACAGCACATATCCAGTCATGCAGACCAACTCCAAATTTTTCCTGGATAAGTCTTTGATATAATTGATCGCCAATACTAGTTTACGGTGGACTTAGTAAGAGGATGGACAAGAGTCTGATATCTGACTCCGGCTGACATGCATGCATCTGTAAGAGGCTGCAATTAGGTTTCTCTAAAGTAAGAGACATTTTGAATCTAAAGATGTTGATGGGTCAAACTGGTTACATCTGATCTGGTGTGAACAACTATCAACATTATCTCCCCATTGGCTCGATTAAAAATGGTGCAACTGAGTAGAACTGCCACACCACCTTTCAACACGTAAAATTAATTGTAATCAGCAACTGAGATACAGTATTTCACCTTATATCATTCAATTTTCATACAGCAAACTGGATCATTTTCTCATTACTATACCAACACACCACTGACACTGATTAATATTCTTCTAACTCATTCTTTAGTCTGTTTGTTATTAAGGTTTAGAAATCTTGCTCTCCAAATTAAATGAAGTAGTCGTAGTAGTAAAAACAATGACGAGTTCACAGAGTCATTTTTGAAGGAAGCACTGGAAGTTGAACCAGGAGCTCTGATGATATGGTCAGTCACTGAGAGGTGGTCAAAGGGGAAGAGGGAGGAAGGAAAGAAAGGAGGAGTTGTGGAGTAGAGTCATCAATAGGCCTCTGTTGCCCCCAATCAGTCCTTTCTGATTAGGCTGAATGTACAGTAGCCCTGTGGGGGTCTGGCTGGCACTGCTGGGTTGCTGATGCTATGCCGCCATGAGATACTGATGGTAGAAGAGGCCAAAGAGGGAGGTGGAGAAGAGGCAGGCAGCAATCCACCAAGTAAAGAAGGAGAAGAGGCCCCGGAAAAGCATGGGGCTGAAGACAGTCCGCAGGCCTCCCAGGGCCACTGACAGCTGGGCCACTGACGCCCGGGCTCCTGTTTCTACCACTGAAGCTGGTGTTGGGGCCACTACTGGTGCCGCCCCCATCACAGAGTCAGAGTTCATTTCATAGATGCAAGGCAGGTCTTCTTCAGGATAGACCCACCAGGAGTGTCCACCTACAGAGAGCAAAGGAACAAAATATCTTAAAAGGTTTGGAGGGCAAAATAAATACTCAAAACTGTGAAATCATTGTGCAGTGCATAACTCACCTAAGGTTTTTAGCAGCAAAGTTGTATGCAGCAGCATCACCAGTGGTGCCACATACTGTAGTGCGATTACACACAAGTAGTAAAAAACACGTGCAACCTGGGTGAAATGATGAAGAATACCATTACTATGGGCTTTTACACAAACTGTTCAAAAAGAATCTTGATTTGGAGGTTTAACACAAAGCACTCAAAGATAGAGTGTAAAGGACGAGAGGGTAAAGGACGACCCCAAAAGAGTGAAATGCAAAGTCTGCAGGCAATCATTCGGCAAAATTCAAATGTAGCTTGTCATTGGAAACATGTAATTAGCCTAACGTTAGCCACTTAGCTTGGCTGCTTGCTGTAATGTTAGCCTTGATGAATATGCACTATTAGGCTGATCCATGTGTTTGTGGGGGCTGGGGAAGCTAAATTACCTTGCCTACTGCTTGTGCATTTGTGCACAATGTGCATTTCAAGTTCATAAATTAGGTGACATTTTGAAATACATCAACAAATGTTCAGTGTATGTGTGTAGACAAATGTGTTAGTAATGTTACTCAAAACATTCTTTCTTATTTAAATAGTTAAATTTATATCATAAATGTGTGATGACTACACTAGGAAAATGTTTGTAGGTGATCAATCATGATTAATGACAGGAATTTTGCCATAAGTTTTTTTTTCCAAAATCAGTCTAGAAATGACACCCTATGCCCTGTTTGGGCTGATGTGTATTGGCACTTGCCACTGTGCACACCCTGAACAAGAACATAGAGCTGTAACATAGGAGAGGCTGCACTACACTAAATTGTCAGCACTTTTAAAGGGAGTGATGAGAGCTGATCTGACCAGCCACAGCTGATGCCAGTCTTAAATACAATCACTGATAATGTATGCAATTTCCAGGTGCACCACAGTGCACTGAAGATTAACTTTTGTGCTCTAGTCCTTAATTCACAAAGACACGGTCCTAACTGTGTCTATATTTGACTTTAATAAAGGGAAATTGGTTTACTCCTAAATTTCTACTATGTGGCTCCAAGTAAGTGCTTACTGTGGAATTACATTACAGATCTTAACACCACTCTGATTGTCAGTCGGTATGATTTGGGTTAAAAGGGATTAAGTTATGTATGTGTTTATATCTCTATCTATATAGAGATATAAATACAGAATTACAACAAGGTACAATCACAGTATTGATAAAAAGAATCATTTTACTTACCATCTTCTGCAGGTCAACGGTACTTATCCGGCCTGCCTCCTTCTTCATCTGGTCCACACCCTTCTGGGCCAGGTTGAGGTAGGCCTGCAAATGATGTCTCATCATAGCGAGCCGTAGCATACACATCAGTATGATGGCCCATAACCGCAACGTATCATACGTCTGCTCAGTCATCCTGATATTAATAGAAAGACAAGAGAAGAGCAGGAGAAAGATGATAAAGGGATGACGGCTTTGCTGGCCCGCTAACTCAACACATCATGCATCTGCTCCATCACTTGGATGGTAGGCAGAGACAATGAGACAGAAAGGAAAGATAGGAAGAGCAAAAGAGTCATAAACAACTCAAAACGAAAAAAGTAAGAGAGGGTGAAATTGAGAGATAAAAAGGTGAAAAGGGGGGTACTGTAACATGAAATCTGACTCAGTCAGGTTTGACCTTGATGGTATCACAGTCACTGTCAGCAGCAGGAGAAAGTTTGACACGTGACAGAATTCAAACTTATGCAACAAATGAAAGATGCTATCTTGGAATAAACAACCAGCTGACAAACGGCAGCAGTTGGAGAGAGAATAAAGAGCTTACCCTCAGGTATGACTAAATATGTGTACAGTCTAATTTTAGCCAATGTGCAACAACATAGACAAAATGCTTATTGTTGTATTTCATCAGTGAATTGAATACATTCCTTATCTCACTGAACTGTTGCAAGTTCCCTTTTCATGACTGCTGTTGCATTGTTTGCATCCATTACATCCAACAACACAACATCAAAATAAGTGTCATCTATAATTCACTAAGTAAGTTGAGTAAGAGAAATGTTATTAATAAAATGAAATGCAGTGTATACATGTACTGTGCCATATTAGCAACACAACTTGCAGTGTTGTGCATATCTGGGTCAGCCATTTGAAGAACTGTGTGAAACAGATAATTACTTGTACTTACAAAGGCACACTCTCCTTTCCCAGAGTGGGGTTCATTATGTAATCCTTGGTGATGGGCTTCACCCACAGCAGGAGCATGATAAGGGGTGACAGGAAGTTGATATAAAGCAGAGTCCTACAGCAAAGAAGAGGTGAAGGAGAACACATCCAGTTAAATAATAAAAAAAAACCAAAAAAAACCAAAACATAGGTGATCAAATAATCAAACAACTTCTACTCCAATGTTTTCTCACAATCATTGTGGAATCAATGCATTAGAGAAAACGGGTAGCTCTCTGATATCTTCACTTTTTAATCTGAATTTGAAGTTAACATGGTGAGATATATGGTCTCTGTTATCAATGCAACTTTCCCTGAGAGGGGTGAGAAGATAACCAAGGCGCAGATTTTGTAGGGCTTGGAGATAATCCCTGCTAGTGACAGGGTCTGAGGATGTAAGCTCATGACAGCTAAGAGGGGGAATGGAAGAGGAGGCCATTTTGGAGAGTCTGCTATGCCAAAGTGGATTATCTGGATGCGATGTGCTCCCTGCTCTGCACCCCCTATCATGGTTGGAGACATGCCACCCAGTGAGTTCTGAAACAGAAATCTGCCCCAACTGAGGAAGTCTTCATCTGACTCACAGGGTGCTCTCTTGTATCTGACACACTCTGAATAGTAGGAGACAAGTACAGCGGCTCTATACTTAGATTCATGGTAGTCTAAAATAGGACAGATTGATATTTGAGCACTGTCTTTGTGACCAATTTGAGCACATCGTGTATCAAAGAAGCCTAGAACCGGAAAGACCACTCTAGATAATATTTCCAATATCAGCTGAAACACGAATGAACAATTCATTTATTCACATGGGATAACATGAAAGTTATATGCCTTCACTTAAGATTCTGCTGTCAACAAAATGTGTGAGGTTTACTTATGCAACTGGAAGGTAAAAGATAGAAGTTTCAACAAACGTTGTTGCGACTTCCTTTTCTATTAACAATAAGACAGAAATGAATTCTGGCAAAAACATGAGTGAACGCAGAAGCGAAGACAATTACTGTGGTGGACTCACTGTGTAAATTTGGCTGTGGTCAGATTGAGTGCATCTAGATGCATCTGGGCCAATCGTAGACCAGGGAAAGTTAGAAATGCTCCAATCAGGGAGCAGAGCAGGGCCAGGATCAGCTTGAAGGTGAGTTTAGATATGGGACCCCTGGTGAAAGAGAAAACACATAGTGTGATACTACTGTCGTTTCATGAGTCATAAAGAATTCATGAAGGCAGAGAAAACAAAAATGATACTGTGAGAATACTGATATTGTACTTACTGGGACTCTAAGCCCTGGTGCTCCAGAAATTGTAGAGCGCTGTCAGAGAAGTTTGCAAAACCTAGAAATGAAGAAATGTTCAACGGTGATTCACTCACTGGGGGCAAAAGTTATAGAATTTGGTTGTTACTAACAGGGTCATTTGTAAGAACAGCATGATGGAGCACTCACCGGTCTCAAGACCAAACTCCAGGTAGTTTTCAGTGACGATTAGAATGGCCATGGCTTTGACAAAAAAGAAAAACCCAAAAGTAATGCAGAGTGAGCGCTCGCCTCCTTCCTCGAGCTTGAAGTAGTGGGCCGTTAGAGAGAAAAGGGTCTTACTGTGGGAACAGAGTCAAGGGAAAACACCTCCAGAAGCACACTGGCATATAAAACAAACCCAAATCTCTTTGCAGATAGATTTTTCAATGCTTTTTACAGGTTCAGAGTTAATAGAAATAAGTCTTTGCAATCAACCAATAAAAAAAAATTTAGATCATAGTAACACACAGCTATTCACAGTATAAAATGTTTTTCCTTCTTTTCACAAGCTTGTGCATAAAGACGGGCTTCATGTGAACCCTCAACCTTTTAATGCCACACAAACCTCGCTACCCAGCATATGCGAGTACAAAATGTGTGGGTCTTTGGCACCAGTGCATGCCATCAAGGTCATAATAGTATTTTACTCTGCCTGCGTCAACACTGATCACAAGGCTAAGGACAGAGCATGTTTCTAAAGCGAACTCCGGTCACCACGGAGATGAAACGCTCAGTTCCTGCAACATGTCAGGTGACAGCATGCCAATTTTTCACTCCTTTTCAGTGCACTTCAAGAATGGTATTCAATCCAATATAGACTTCTTTCTTCCTCTAACCCTTATTCAGTGCTGTGAAGACAGCTGTATAAACACTCGCCAGACAAGTTAGAGCCAGCATGAGGGTGAGAAGAGAAATAAAGCGATGTCTGAGCTATCATGTGGCGGCGTACAATTAATATACCGCCGAACCAGCCTGTAAACATTTGCCAAAGGTAAAGATATGCAGTCTCCTTTATAAATTTCACTAAACCAGGGGGAAAAAAGTGAGGTATCATTAGACGCAGATACTTGAAGAGCATGTTGCTCTGGTGTTATCAGTGAACCGGTTAACAGAGCAGAGAAGCTGCTCTCCAGGGCAAGAGTCTTAAACATGTTATCAGAGCTGAAATAGGAAAACTGAAATCAAGTGTCCCATTAACACATATATTGAGCCAACATATTCCCTCATCTTCATCTTCATAGTCCAATTTCATCTGTTCCCAAGTCTGTCCTTCTCCCCAAGCATATCAGTCTGTTGGGCTGTGAAAATTGGGCCTCCAATCTCCGACGTAGGCAGGAAATGACACACCATCTGACCGTGGTAAGCCCGGTCCAACCAGGAGCACTGGAAAGATTGATCCCTGTGGTTGGTGGCAAGGATAATGCATATTATTTAACCATCATTCAGCGTGGCAAAATAGCAGGTAGCTGTGCAGCATAAACGTGCTGGCAGTCAAGCCAGAAGGAGCTTAAGCAGTCATTTCATAGCCTCTCACCGCCACAACTGCATCCACACAATCAAGCTGGAAAGATTTGGTCTCTCTTATAAACAAAAGAGATGTTAACCTATGATATATTCAGGGTGAAAAAAGGAAAGAGAAAATAATTGAAATTTTTGAGCGCAAAGCAGAGCCCAAGGAAAACAGGTTTGTTCAACTGTTAATGTTACCAACCCAGCATAAATAAGTTACTACTTTACCAGTTTATACTACAATGCTGATGAGAAGTGACAGTCTGACCAGATTTTTTTTAAAAATGCTAAAAAAGGTGTAAAGAGTGACTGATGTAAGGATACATGACAAAGGCGAGTACTAGCAGGCACCAGACCACACTGATGTTCATCTCTCCTGAGGGCTGAGCCACACTGTAGTAGAGCTCTGTTATCAGATAGACCACAGTTGCCGCTACAGTGAAATCCACCAGCCACTGGAACTCTGGGAAGTAGTGCAATGCTGGGGGCATAAAGAGTATAATTAAATCCATAATATATTCAATAATAAAATATATAAAGCACAGCATATACAATATATATAAGTGTGTGACTGAAAAAGTTTCTTTAGTAGACAGTTGTCCTCTTAGATGTATACCTAAAGTGTCGACTTCTGTGATGCATTTCGTCTCCAGCTGTAAGTCTATGTCCTTGGGAACTGTTAGCGGCTTATTTTCTATGTGACCATTGTACTTCCTGGGACAAAGAGGACAGAGCAGTAAAACAACAAATAGGGTCAGGAAAACAAAGAAAGTTACTCCAAAAAGCAACATAATGAAATATTAACACCATTAATGTTTTCTAACCTGTGCAGAAAAACAGCATCATGTTGAAAAGAGATTTTTTTAGTTTTTAATCATCTTATGCAGCTGAAAAGAACATAACAGTTGAACACATTTCTTTGAGAACTGAAACTATCAATGATGTGCTTAACATTACTGCTGACAATTAACCACAGCATACCATGTTTTTCTACAACTGATTTCCCACCATCCAAACAGTCATTGAGATGTTAATCCATCACAGATAAAAGTTAATCTTATTCTGCCTACATTGATGGCCAAGTTTAAGTTACTGCAGTATTGAAGCTGTGAGCACACTCAGTATTCTACATTCAGTAGTTAGTGTAGGTCTATTTTTTTATTTTCTATTTTTTTTTACTACTAATACTACTGGACTTCCATGACCAAGAACATAGGCAGTGCTAAATCGCTAACAGCAGGTGAATGGAGAGCTGTTCTTTGGGTTTGAAGAACTGTCTGGTGGGCCTCCTCAGTTCTGGGCTTTGTTTGTTCAGCCTGGTGTGTGTGCTGGATTCACAGGACAATACCACTGAAAGACTTTAGGGCCAAACATGCCCTGGACAGATTTCATCTCGGAGGCACCTGAAAGGAAAAAAGGGGCTCAGCTTCACCCCTCACTGAGGGAGTTAGACGGTTAACAAAGGGAACGGAGCGGCATGGCACGAGCTGGCAAAAGGACAGTGGTCCATCTTTTTCTTCAAAGGATTACTGAACATGTGGTGCTAGAGAGCTTTGACCTGCCTCATACAGGGTCAGAGAAAGGACTGTGCTACAAAACAGCCTTAAGTTAGGAGCTGGACACCATGTGGAACAGTAAGGATTAGCTTTCAGTTGTGACTTCAATTTGAATTCACATTTAGACAGAAAGTACAAAGGAAAAAGCGCTAAATTCACATGTTCAACATATGGTTGGACTTCCACCTGCAGCCTTCAAGATTGAATAGGAGATTTTTTTTGAATTGCAAAGTGGTGTGGTAGGAAAATCATCTTCCAGAATCAAAGCTTGACATCTGACCGCTTTGAAGATATAATGCTGTTTGGGGAATCTTTGATTTTGTGGTGAATGCAATCCTTTTAAACTGACATCCCTTAAAATAGCCGAAATAGAATTGGCTCAAAAAAACACAACCAACTTTCCTCACATCCACTAGACGGGGCCACTTCTAAGCCAAGTTGCTCCGAGCTCAGATGAAGAGCCATAAAGGAACAAAACAACAAAAATAGACTTCTGTCTCGTTACTTCAAACAGGCCTTAAATGAGCCACATAAACACATCAGCGTCATCTCTTTGCTGACATGCCTGTGGTCTCCAACCATCTCAAAGTCTCCGTCTCATCTTTTCTTTCCTCTCTGATGAAAGAGGTGCCTTTCGTACCTACTCTGTGCCACTGCATTTCCCCAACCCCCAAACAATAGCCCTTCTTCATTTCATTTCTGCCCCCCCACATACACCCCCCCGCCTCCCAACCTACCTGTCTTTTCGCTTCTGTCCTTTTTGTTTCCCAGCTAAGCTCCTCAACTCATCTTCTGTAGGGTGCTGATACCACCGCAGACTGTGAACAAAGAAAAAGAAAGATGTGAAATCAGGTTCAGACTTTGGCAGAGAGGGAAACAGTGAGAAAGATGACACAATAAAATAAAATATAAGAAATTTCAAATTTGGGGATGAGGAAAAAAAAAAAAAAAAAGACTAATGATAGATTTGTTGTACTACTATATAATTATTGAGATATACACAATAAAATAAATAATGTTGATTCTGAACAATGGTAAGGGATATGGGCTTAAACAAATGGTATATGAAATATTGAGACATATTGTACAGTGACTGTCTGTTCACATCCATTTCTTGTAAGAATAAGGGGATTTCACTTACTGTTAAAAGCTTAAATTGCCTTTTCATCACACCTTAAAGCAATAATATCAAAAATCTCATTGAAAAGTGCTCTTGAAAGTGGTGACACTAAGTCTTGATTCTACAAACATGACAAGTTTCAACTTGTAACAGCTCTGAGCTTTATGATTAACTCCTAAATAACAAAACACTTTCACACATAACAAACAGAAACTCTGATACACACCTAAAAAGCACTTGTGAGAGGCTTTACAACAGCAAGGTTATCTGTCCTTAAGGACTGAGCTTGAATTAAGAGGTAATTGAAGAGCATTCTTTTGAAGACAAACCTCCTTAACTTTGTTTAGAAACCCTCTTGTCAGAGCATCTTGAGAAGCGCTCTGTGTGGTAGAGGAGGAAAGAAAGAGCACAGCTTGTTTTTCCCCTGTATACTTATTTATTATGGAAAATTAATTACAAAATACTCTGGAGGGACACTACAGGGCTTCTACTTATGGCAGAAGTTTTCAAAAAATGTTTCAGCAGTGCCCTGAAAAGAAAAATTAATTAATTATTAAATGTGTTCCAAAAAGCTGTTTACTGAAAAACATATGTGACACTAATTAGAGGAAATGAGGCGGGCACTTTATTTTTATGTACCGTCCTCTCGGGTCATCCCAATATTTCAGTGCCCTTTGGTCTTTGCAGTGTGATTTAATGATTCTTTTTCTTCTTCTATCCAGACCGTTTGGAACACTGCTGTCTGAGTAAACATTTTGATCCCCATTGTTCTGGACTCCTTTTGAAATAAACTTCTCAGAAAGCAAGTAAACTGGAGAAATTAAACTGGAGCACTTAGAGAAACGATTTGAAAACACATGTACAGGATTCTGCATTACCTGCCACTGCAGAGAAGCCATCTTGCGAAGGAATAATGAGGTATGATTTTTTGAATTACACTGGCCATTACCATGGTAACCACCAGCTGCACACCGATCACACCCTGTGGAAACAGGATGGGAGGTTAAATCATATTTAAATAATAATTATACATCTCATAAAGCAGTTACACATATGAAGAATAGGTTTATATAGACTCATATATAGTGAAGCATATCTTCTAAGCTAAAAAGCTAAAAATTCTATTATCTACCTCAGAGTCTACCTCAAAAGTCTTGGCATCACACCTTAACTGAAATGCTCATGGGTTCGATTAATTTTTTGTGCCCTCCACAGACTAACAGACAAACTTGCTGATACAGATCATATTATTTTTTTTTCAATAGGGGCCACTGATGTTTTTCCAACAAACAAGACTGCAGTGCAGTGATTACTTGTTCTGAGAGACTTTGTTTAACTTACTAGATAGTTTATCAGGCAAACACTCAAAATGTGCATATGTATGAGCTGTTATAATGCAAAGTTTTTAACACTGCCTCCAGTGTTCCTGACAATTCCTTGGCAATACAATGAGAGGTGAGGTAATAGACTTGGCTATAATGGTGCTACTTTGCCCTGCTAGCAGTGGAGCCAAGATGATGTCTGTCCAAAATTTTCCCATAAAATCTGGCATAAATATTCATTGTCCCCAGAAGCTCCATCTTCCCGCCAAAGATTCTAGCAGTAAACTAAATCTAGATGCACACTGCCATGAAATTTACTAAGCGTGTTCAAGGTCAAGATAAACCCTTCTGGTTGGAAAGACAGCACGGCCTAGACTAGATGGTTTCAATTGTCAGTGTTTCCGCTACATATATATTTTGCCACTTCTGCAATGTCATGAAGGTGCAATTACACAACTCTGCAAAGGGTTTTTCCATTTAAAATTACGGATACAGGAAGTGGAGTCATATGGTGACACCCAGCCAAAGTTAGAGGGAAAGACAGAGGAAGGAGGGAAAAAGAAAGAAGAGAGAGAGGAAGGAGGTAGATTTAATTAGCTAATGTTAAGTTAGACAGATTTTTTTAACCTGCTGATATTTACTCTGACTCTGCGTACCCAGACTGCCCCCCCCCCCACCCCCTGAAGAGAACGCTAGCAGAAACACTGATAGTTCCACACGACACACCACAGAAAAGCAGATTTTCTTTGTAAATAATAATGTAGAACTTGTTGAAACTTTATCAAGACCAAGAGCTCAAACACATAATGACCTTCATTTCTCTTTAAACACATATACAGGGAAGTGCACTCTGCCAAAAACAGGAGTTATTCACTTCAATGTTAGTCAAACAACATAAATTAGGCCATGTTTCATTCCTCAAAGCAATTTCCCTATTTTACCTAATTCCACTATATGTGTATCATTACAATTTTCTAAAGTAAAGGCCCACAGAGTTGAAGCAAAAAGAAACACTGTGGCATCCAGAAGTCTTTCAGCCAACCTTTAAATCATTCACACCTTGATTCATGTAGATATGATGATTCTCGATCACACGATTACCAGATGACCCCAACAACTCTCATGTGGCATCATGGCACACAAAATGGTATGCCTAGGATTTCCACTGCTCAGCAGAGTTTAAGATGTCTTTTACACAACTGGTGAAACTTCAAGTCTAAGGTTTAAGCTCAGGGTAGACCTGATGACCTTGTGTTGGTTGATATGACTATCTGCACCTTGAGGTGACTGAGCTTTGGTAACCAGAGGAGAGTTTTCTACACTCTTTCTACCAAAGCGGTTGTCCTTTTAGTATCTCTGGTTATAATAGGCCATTGCACAAAATGTTGCAAATCACTGAGTAAGACTGTTTTATGGCAGTACTGGATTTACAACATTTTGGCAGGTATTTAATCCACTAGATTAGCCATGAAACAGAATTCACATTTGTTTTTTTTTTTTTTATCTATGTACCGTTTCTCAATTCCATTTCCAGAAAATGTACAATATCATGATAGGTATGGTTGTGCAATTTGAATTTAATTAAAGTGTGACAGAAGATTCACAATCCAACTAAGACCCAAAATCAAAATTACAATAAATTCCTGCATTTACCTTGATATAACACATGTAATGGTAACTATTTTTAAACACATCAGCTTTTCTAATTATAAGGGATTTAATTATCAACTACCCAACTACTGTAATCTGAGTGAATTTAGTGATGTAAATACAAAGTTCACTAAATGACTCTCTGTCTGGAACCTCTGTCACAATGTCTCAATGCCACCATGAACCCAGCAGAATGAGCAACCAGCACTCCTGTGGTAGGTACCCAAAGACTTAGCAACATAAGGAGCTCAATATCAACCCAGCACACTTAGATCAATATTCACTTAGGCTTAAGAGGCCAGAATCATTCCCATCACGCTGCGCTTTTATCCACTCACTGTAGGGTAAGGTCTGCGGCTTGGCCTATCTCTTTGGCAATCAGTAGGAATCACTGATATCTGTGCCTGCACACACTTGAGCAAAGAGAACCAATTAGCTAACTAATCCCCAATAAAATACTTTTTTTTCCTTTTCCAACAACAGTCTTATGGCTGGGTTAGCACCTGGGGATGTCCCAATGAATCTACACTTGCAAACTCATCACCTGAATGTATAGTAATAAATTCTGTGGCCTTCTTTGTTTTCTCAACATGATGTTTACACATCAATAATATTAGGCTAAACAAAACTCCCTGCCCCTCAACTCTACTCAATAAAGCTTCAATTCACCCTAAAAGGGCAATTTAGAAAGCTAATTTCACTTCATCTGATGTGCGTCCTGGCGGCAATTGTGAGAATCATTGGCCCATTAAGACATATGCTTTGCATAGAATGCAAAATTAATACCGTATTCAATCTTTTCAAAAAGTAAAATATCGCCTCTGCTGACATGCATATTCTTAAAATGTGTCATCTGGGGCAGTCTATCATGTAGCGGGTGCTTAGCCTATCCACACTATCATGAACCATACCCTATGCCCTTTAGTTATTGGTCAAGTTTATAACGCTGATTAAAATGCCCCAGCTCACCATTCTACACTTTTGCCGAGTCTTCTACTTTTAATTTTTTACAAAGTCCCCTGTTTTGTTAGTGAAGCCTTCAGCATCTTTATTTAAGCTTTCAGCTCATTCACTTGCACTCGTTTGTTTGAATATTTTACATGAAATTAGATTTTTGGCTGTACTGAGGCTAGCAGAAAATGCTAATTTAACCTCACACATATCCTGCTTCCAACATAAGGCTGGACAAAAAGCAAACAATCCTCATAAAAAAAACCCTTCACAATATAATGTCAGATAGTAGTTTGTGTAGAAGGAGGAAGTGTATGACACCTAGACAAGAGAGGTGATGAGGCCAGTCCTGTACACTAGACCTAGATTTTGGATTGGTCATGGGGATCCCCAGTGTCACCCAGCATGAGGTAAGCTCCAAAAGCTAAAGTCAATACCTCTTCTGGAGTCACAGAGGGGAAAAGTGGGTGCCATTAATTTGGTAGTTATACTCACTAAGATATGACCCGTGACCAAACACAACCTCTCTGACTCAAGACATTTCTCCATGTGAGTAATGGTCAGGCTATATAGGTCAAAAGCACACAGCCTTAGTTTGGTGGATGGTGACCATTCTCCGTGGGGGAGCTGCAAGGATCTCAGGCCTGGGGGAAATTGAGCCAGCATGGACTCTCTTATCTTGCCCATTCCGCCTCACCCCCTCCACACAACAACCAAATGAAATCTGTAGGGGGTGGGAAGTGGGAGCTGCAGTGATAACCACCATCCATAAGAGCTCAAACACGTCACAAGCATTTAGCCATGAAACTAACTCTGAAGCAGTGAAACCCCTTATTGACCGATGCTTCCTCATTCATTCATCTTGACTACTCATGGGTGTATTTAATCCTTCTCTAGCTGTAAACTGTTCAACTATTGAGCGTTGGGCGTCCTACTCTACACTTTTTAATAGAAATATTGCAGCTGTGGCTCCAGATGGGCTTCACTTTATATCAAAATGGGCCTAATGTGGCCTAATATAGTAAGGACTAGATAGCATCCAGGATGTTAGTCATTTCTGTGACATACTGTTCCTGACATGCCCCCCACCCTTCCCCATATTGCAGAATACCAGGATGGTATTACAATGAACTGGAAATAATCATACCTTATCTGAATGTTCTACTTTGAATTGGAGTATCATTCCAAAACATCATTTCCAGATTTTTTTTAAATTTTGACACTAGTGTCCTGTCCTTCTGTTGGATAAGCTGCCCCAACAGACAATAACATTCAACAGATGTTACTCTTGATATTGTCAAATGATGTGCCCATTCAGATTCAAGACACCAACTGTATTTTGGAGAGAAATTTTGAGCTAACTATGTGCTATATAATACAATGATACCATCATGGATGTAACCAAAACAGCCTTTTCTTTGACTAGTAAATAAACACGAGTGTAATGACAAACAGCAGTTAACATCTATCAATTTCCCTCTGTAAGTTCATGATGCAAACACTTTCTGACACGTTTTATAAAACACACTGACTTGAAATTAGATTTAAATACCAGAGTGTTCAACAAATGCTTGTGACATGGTGAATATATAGCTGTTACACTAAATGAGCTTCACAGTTCCTCTGAGGGCATCCTGAGGTCAAACTGAGCTTGCCAGGTGCGTGAACACACCTTGTCTTCTCCCAAAGGTGCCCTGTTGCCAGGTGAATGACATGCTAACAGCTAAACTGGTATGGTCCATACTAGTGTATAGCTTATCTTCAACCTCTACCCTGCAAGACATGCCACTGTCAGTACTCCCAAACAATGTATGTGAGTGAACACAACTTAAAGCAATAGCGTTAATATATTATGAACATCACTACACTGCAGTCTCTGTGCAACTAACCATAGCTAGATAGCTACACTGGTTAGCCGGTGCGCCTGCTCTGGCTAGCGAGCTAAGCTAACGTTACACTGTAATCACAGAAACAAATTGGCTGAAAACGTAAACGTGTTAGAATCGTCGCAGTGGATATCCGCATAAAAAACTGATGCTGTATCAACTAAATACGACAAATAAGATAAAGCGTTGCGTTCAGGTGCTCACTGTCACACTCACCATGTTGATGCAGTGAAACGGACTCTACCCCGACAACACTGAGCACCCCGAGTCGGAAATCAAGCGGCGAGGAGCACATAAGCCCTTCTTGCGATGATTATGCACAAAATGAAGGGGTTTCTCATTCAAATTGTCACCGTATCCTTAAAGAGATGGGTTACATCGTCAAAAAAATCAATGGACTCAACCTCCGCTCCCAAGTATTTTCAACTGCAATAGAGGTCACGCTAAAACTCTGGGTAAGAAGGTGACTTCGGATCTGCCTGTACGCGGAGAGTAACATACGAGGATTTAATTAGTCACAGTGTCACACTTTAAAATAAAAATGTCGTCATAACACATTTAAAACGTACCTGTATACCCAGTAATTCTAAATTTGATTTGAAATTGACATGGACTTTTAAAATTTTGCACAGGATTAAAGAAGACCACTATAGATATGCACTAGGACCGCCGCAAGCGGAAGAGAGCGAAGAGTCACTACAACACATGACAGATCAGTAGCTGCATCAGATGTCTGACAGCATACATTGTGCTTTTTGGCTGTATCGGTTTGTAAACGAATCAAACACTGCAGGCTGTCTCTTAATCTTAATTAAACCTACGCTGGATGGATCCTTGTCCCTCACAGACTTTATTAATGTGGCGTTATTAAGTGATATAAAATTATTTACTGTCAGACAAGTCAGAAAAAATGCTACAGCCCAACTAACTAACTGAAACCTTTTAGATAGATTCCAAAGGCATCCTATCTACCTTTAAACCAGTGCTCTTTGAGTACCTGAAGGTTGATTTTACATTTAACATGAAACTCCATCTTAATAACGCACATAGGTTGCGGTATTTTGACCAGTAGGAGTTTTTCATGCTTATGGATTCTATACTGATAAAGAGACACTTTACTGAAGTGATACCCTACCCAGATAAAGAGGGGGGGGGGGGGGGGGGGGGGGTTGTTTTTCCCTTTTTCCCCCCCCCCCCCCTCCTTTAAGTGAGCAGGAGGTGAAAACTCAGTTAACAATGGAAAGAGCCTTCCACCTATGTGCCAATCATAATTTTGAGTTCCTGGTAGTTTTCTTCTGTATTACTATTTTGCTATACTTCTAGTTTTCTATAAGTTTTTCTGGAATTGATATATCATTTTGTGCTCTTATACTTGTAACTGAAACTAAGAGTTACTAGATTTGTTTTGCAGAACGCACATTTGCATGCAAATTAAAAGAAAATATATGAGGTACTGCTGGGGTTTTAAGCACAATTAGACATAGTGCTGTCTGTATTACAGCATTATAACACTAAATCAATGTGTTATAATTGATTCAATTAAAAAGGGAACATTTCTCAAAAATAATACTTTCAATACAATGTAGGCTATTGCTAATACTCTTATATGTTTACCCAAACTTTTTAAATGCTGGACTACAGTATACTTCCAATGGAATATTTTTCTACAAAGTAAACACTTTGGGTATTTTTCCCCTCACTTCAAATGAGATTTGATTTGTTTCATAGTGCTCTAAGGTGATAAATGTGTGGAATAGCAATAACATAATCCCGAGGAATCGTCTGTAAAATTCACAGTGAATGACTTTAGTGGCATTACGTGGAGTAACTCTCCTGATTAATTCAGTAAAAGGAGCCTTTTCTGTTTTGCTTTTAGCATTATTTCAGGGGTTTTTGTACTTCGCATATTGTATTTAGGTGACAGTGAGACACACCATGTGTCAAAACATAATTACATTAATTTAAAAACAAATTACAAGAATAACATAGTGTAATAGGGTGTACATCCTGTTTACAGCTTGGCTCAGGATAAAAGCTACTGCTGAACATTCAGACACAGTGTGTCTGTGCATTTTGTTTGTTTCCCCCTGTATAAACAGAGTAACATGTACATCAACATGTGGGTATATAAAGGGCTAAGCTATAGTTGCACATGCGCATATGTTGGCTAAGCCCTCCTCTCTTTTTGCAGAAATACCTACCCCACCCCCTTGATGCATCATACCAGCCCCTCATGGCACGTAGACACTCACACACACTGCAGGAGTGTGCTTCCACGCTGTCTCAATCTACTTCTCCTGCATATTTCCCTTGTTAAAAAATTACCATTCTGCCTCGAGGCCTAGGAGGTATCTCAATAAAGATTGCTGTTTACTAATGATGATGTCAGCAATGAATGCAATTAAGTTAAAGTGATGCAGGAATACACATGAGGAAAATAATTACATCAAGACACATAAAATCTTTACAAATTTTAAATCAGAATATTGTTTCACAAAAGTGGCTCTGGAGAGACAATGTTTCATATCAGTATCTGGGTTGTTCCATACATTTCACACTGATTTCCTTTTCATTTATAATTGAAGGGAGTCTCATACTGTACATTCTCCTCGTTGTATTCCATATCACACTCAGCACTATCGCTGCTGCTGTTTGAACTCTATTCTCTTTGGAGCTTGTGTTTTTTTTTTTTTTTTTTTTTTTTTTTTTTTTATTCTTTTCTTATTCAGTGTTGTCTGTTCTTTTTAGTCAAGCTTGATATTTTTAGATGAAACATAATAGGCAGGATCTTCAGTGTACTGTGAGAGTTTCACACCCCTTCCTAGTGTTTAATCCATATGACATCTCCTCCGTGCCTACTGGTTCTTTTGAGTTTCAACTCACAAGCCTTACAATATAAATAAAGATGATGAGAATATTACAGTAAAAAATCTCAGCCTAGTCAATCAAATAGACTATTGTTGAATGTCACAATTCATTTTTAATGGCAGGGCTTTTTGTGCGTGAGTGCTGGTGAGCATTATACATCGTTTCCTTCTTTTATTAATCAAACAACAGTTTGAAATGTGTGTCACTGATCTCAGCAGTATACCTCGAAGCAGAGGAGGAAAATAGAACAAAAATCCATGTCAACTCCTCACCAGTAAGACTGAAAATGGTTCAGAATGTAATTCTCTTTGGTGCAGCGCCTCCTTCTCCATTCTCTGTAATCTACAAGAATGCAAATTGCAATGCAAATGCAAATACTATTGAATAATTTATGTGTTGCATAGAGTTCCTTTACAGAAACCGGGAGCTTTTCGCTTAAATAGAGTAATGTGGCATTCGGAGCACACATTCGGTTAACCACAGAAATACACGATAAGAATTCACTGTGTAAAATTCAGTTCAACAATTTAGTAAAGGTTTTGCAGGGATCAGGATTACATATCTAAGATACAGAGTCTCTATTTCTGAATTAGATTATCTCAAATATAGTACTGTTTGTTCACCATATTGCTGAAAGCTGGACAAAGTCAAAGTCTGGACACATCAGTCAGTAGACGTCTGTTGTTGTCTTACTGGTTTAACGCTTAATTTGATGTTACATCCATGATCGTTGATTGGTGTTGATTTGTAATTTGGCTTGCACTGACCTGATAGGAAATTTTACTGTCTTCCGTTACTGTCAGTTACAGCCAACAGCGGCTGAATTATTTTTTTTGACATTCATTTATTTCCATGTTCACTACAGCTGATATTTAAATACCTCCTACATACTGTATGTAAATGTCAATTCAAACCACTGTTGACATTAGATCCCATTCTCAGATACTGCAGTGCTTTTGCATCCAACACAGTAACAAGGCCTTTCAAGTTCAACAAGTTCAATATTTCAATCTAATTTCTGTAAATTAAATTGAAGCACAAGCAGAATCTCTTTGTCTTTTGTGTTGAGGCAGGGAAAAATTACATCTATTACAATTAATGACATTCATATACACTTGAACACATACATTTTGCCTTTTTTTTTATTTTTTATTTTTATAGAAAAAGGCTTCAGTTTCTATCCGAACATGTGGCCATGTTCAGGCTTCTCCTTCAGCGGTTTTTCCATCAGGGATTGTAATTAAGCAACAGCATTCATGAGTGGGCATGCTCATTTAACCTGCGTCTGGGCTTAGACAGCTTTAGAGGGATGGAAGAACAAATCCTGGTGGAACAAGGCAATGTATGCTATAGCCAAAGTGAAAACATTGCAGACAGAATAACAACTACTCCAAAAGTTTGTATGCATGTTTTTTTTTTTCTTTTACATTTTGTAGTCTGCAATGTATACTTCCTCCTCTGACTATTTTGTCTGCTGCTGGTGTGTTTTACTTTGCAAAGATACTATTATATGCTTACAGGGGACTGCAATGTTTTTCGTGACAGCTGCAGAATTGTAGGATTATATGTCAGTATTTTTATACAAAAAAATTTAGTTATCCACCTATTCTGAATATTTTCAAATTTAATGTTTGAATACAAACAGATATATCAGCATCAGCATGCTTCTCTTTTATGTGTCAAATCCCTTTTAAATGTGTACTCTCATGCTTAAAAGCTGTCATTACTGTGATTACCAGGGTTAAAAATGTAAATGTAGTGCACGGTCCTTAGACAGGTGAAGTGGTAGATTTGGGATGAGGTTAGAGTCAACATAATAGTAATAATAACAATGATAATAAAAATTGATAATATTTGTGGTTTTTATAAAAATAACACAAAATCTGAAAAGAGTGGAAAAATAATATGCCGCAATGCATAATGATGCTGTTCAATGCTCATTTGAATATAAAAGAGTTATGGAAATGTAATTAATTTGATGCTGTGTAAGTGATGCTGACTCAGTAATAAAATCTCAATATTAAATCATAATCATGTCCCAGCGTTTTCCTTTTGTAAACCAGGAGATCGAATCTGTTAGATGAAAAACTCGAATAAGGTTAGAATATCCCTCCAGGATATTGATATGTAATACTGAAAGTAACCTAAGATACCAGGCCTCATGTATATACTTCATATAAACACAGTATATATACACCAATCCCATCAGCAATACACTAATGGTGTTAATGTGGCTGAAGGGTGTATAGTTCACTTTTCATTTTTGCCATGTAGGACATTGTAACTTTGATGCTCTCGTGATCACGATATATGACAGGGCCACTCAAGAATTCATGAAAAAAAAGATATGACTGTAGACTTGAGTTTGAGTTGAGTTGTCTGAAGTCTGCAAAATAAATTAATTGTCTGAATGTCGGCTCAGCTAATTTTACTGTATATTATTATTTTATTCTATATTGAATTTCCTGCTCAAAAGCTCTGTTGTGTGGTGAAGTCACAGGAAAATGCCAGGTTTCTCAACACACTGCTCAGTGCCATTGCAG